CTGATCCAAGTAATATTCCAGACCTACTGATCCAGAATGTTCACATTTATAGGGCTCAGAGAAAACTAGCTACAAGTGAGATAGCGGATTTTATCTTCAAATGTTAGTGAGCTACATCCTGAAGAAAACTGTCAATAGTGAAATACCTTTTTTGGAATAATATTCAAACTAGTAATAATATCAGTGTGACTTCAAATGCTGGAGGTGTGTTTTCATGGTCAAGGAATCATATTATGGTTCATTTATCATTTGAATATAGGCATAAATGGCATTATGGGGAACCTGAGCACTCTGAGTGCTGTCTAGTTTAATATTATAATCCTTAAAATTCACACTAAATCAAAGCCCATGTATACTATTTAGTATCAAAAAGGTCCTTGTAAGTAAATGATTGTTGGCTTAAGTATACAGTATTACAAATCATATAGTCATGAAATCCACTATAATTTAATATTAATAGTTTTTCTTTGCCTATGCAAGGACTTGAAACGTGTTTGAAATGTGCTATATAATTAAAGCTGCTTCATCTTGCCTATAAATATCATACAGACAGACAGAAATTGAGAATCTTGCTTATGAGCTACACAATGTGCTGTGACCTTTTCTCTTTTTGTGTTCTTGTGGAATTAAATTGTTCAAAGTCTCCATACACTTTTAGGTACAATGCTTGAATGCATTTGATGAAAGAAAATATAACAAAACCCTGAGAGTGTCAGGCGTTGCAACAAATATCACTCTTGAACATGAAGTGACATGGCATGGACAGCTCTGTCTCACTTCTTATTAGTAAATGCCATTTTGTTCTTTATGATGTATAAAAATTTTGAAAATAAAATTTTAAAGGTTGAATGTTCTATAATTGATTGGTTGATATTTGGAAATGTGAAGTAATCCATAATGTATTGGGAAGTAGCTAGCTGTGTTCTCACCTGCAGCTGACAGACCATAGGTGAATGAGCTATAAGAGGGTCCATCTAATGCAACATGATGCTGTTGCAAAAGCAGAGAGCAAGAAAAAGATCTTATACTGTAGAGTCCTTTAGAGTCCTTGAAGTAATGTTTTCAAGTCCTGTCTTTGTTGCATGGTGAAAAGTAAAGCTGTTCCAGCCTGTGTTATCTCATCTGAGGAGCATGTTTATACGTCTGTATTACCACTGTTGACCTAGGCCAGCTTTTTGTTAGTCACTGGTGCACTTGTTTTTGCATCCTCAAGATCCTGAGTGCACCAGAACATGCCTTCAAAGTCCCCTAATTTGCATGAACACTCCCAAGTGGATGAAAGTGTATGCGGTACCCTCACGGCGCAGGCGCTAGGAAAAAAGGACTGCCTCAGGCGCAAGATTTGGAATTACACTTTGACATGGGACTGTATGCCTGGCGCTGGGTGGAAGATGGGGGCCATTGTATTTCCTTAACTTCAGGGGACATGACATTGACTTACATTAATTTCTTGGAGACTTAACCCTTAACCATAACCACTTCTTGCCTAACATCTAACCTTTACCTTGAACCATGTCATCACTCTAAAACTTAATTCTTTACATTCTGGGGACTTGCTTTTTTCCTCATAAGTATGTCAAGACCCCACAGTGTGATGCATTTACATTGCCACAACAAGAGTAATACCAGCAGTACCCCCTGTATGAACCTTTGTGCTTATCTCTAAATGCGAACTACTTTTCTCTCCTTTTTGTCAGGAACAGGAGAGAGGACTTGTAGAAAACCAGGCTCTCTTGTTCTAAAATATTTCTACTTTTGATCATGTTGCCCATTTGGGTAATTTTTTAATGCTTCCTGGAGAAGCAGAATCCATGATATGCATTAAGTCATAAGTGGGCCCTGACCCCTGTCTAACAGAGCAAGTTGACCTCAGTACAGCAAGATCATATCACTGCTGTAGTGCTCTTGAGTAGGGAACATACTGTCATTAAGGCCATATGCATTTAGGCACAGATTGGCTGATCTTGGTGTGTTTGTGTTTGCCATAATTATGTGGGCTGGTAGCTGGATGTCAATATAGTCTTGTGTGTTCTTCCTTGAGCCAGTGAAAACTTTGTATTGAATCTGAGATGGAGACTCCAAGGAGAGCTACTCTGTCCCATCACTTTAGGCCAGTCACAGATTGCCAAATTTGCATAGGTCCAATGCCCTTAGCAAGGTTATTTATCCTTCTCACTATGTGGAACATGAGAGATAATGTTCAGTGGTTGTGACTCAGTAGGTGTAGAGAGTGGTCTATTAATTACAAGGCTGGTGGTTTGTTCCCCAGCTCCTCCCATGCACATGTTGAAGTGCCCTTGAGCAAGACATGGAATCCCAAATTGGTCCCAATGGTGGTGGCCCACCATCATCATTGTGTGCTTTGTCTGCTAAGATAGAAAAGCAGCAAGTGCACTAGGGATGTGAATAAACAATCGATTATTCATTTACTGGAAAAGGTCATAGAATATTGAAAAAAAAAATGTTTTTGACATTTTTTACATTGTAGAGAAGCTGAACTAAGGTTTATGGCACTGTTTCTGTGTGCTACACACAGTTTCTATTGAGAGCAGGCGGGAGATATGTTGGCAGATTCAGCAAAAGAAATAATGGAATTATTTTACTCAATCAAAGTTGAGTGGTCATTAAGTGGGTTGCAGTTATCTTTCCACAGTTTGATCAGCATGGTGAAGAGGTACATCATTGCCACAAAAATGATGAGCTTCAGCAGAAAAAAAGATTTGAAAGAGAGATGAAGAGAAATGACTGGATTTGCTACACCTAAACACTCGTGTGACCGCTTTGGTGACATCACGATTAATCAAATAACTGACTTGAACTGGCTTAATTATTCCGCCTCAGAAAATAATTCTAATGCTCATCTCTACCATTTACATAAAAGGACATAGATGTTGACTGTGATTACTGAAAGAGGAACATGCAGTTTCAATGTTGCCAGAGCTGGTATAATCAAATCTGTTTTGTGCAATTCAGTGAAGACAGTTAGGAGTGTTAAGACAGTTTGGGCTGCATCCATGCTGTCTAAACATACAAAATAGGTCAGAGAGCAAAAACAAAAGTCTCCATCTAGACCGCTGGAAGCAGAATTGGCACCAAAATGTTTAAATATTTGTGTCCATTTGCCAAATTGAAACTATTATACCGACCTAATCTCTGGATTCCCGTTCATCAGAATGGAAAGGACCTGGGAGTGGTAAACTACTGTTTGGCAACATGTTACATACAGTATAATCTTTTCTGGTTTATCTTAGTTGTAGTTCTACCACTTCTTCTTCTGTAGTTCTACCATTATTGAACATCCCTGATCATGAACACCTTTGAGAGGCTGATGATCAAACACTTTAGATAGATGACTCCTTTGGATCCTCACCAGAAACTCTTGTACCTACTGGGTGATCACTGAAATGGATGATGCACCATTCTTTGGCTATCAACACATTACTTCTCTTTTTTACAATCTCATGTGCCATCTAGGCCCTTAAGGTGGGCAACACTTTTCAGTAGGCTCAGTAAGAAAAATGAGATCAGGCCAAGGAGTGTTTAAATCCGACTTCTAGCAATGAATTTACACAGAGCTGAGGCAGTCATCCCAGTAATCCACATGCACTGCAACCTGCAATACCTCACCAAAATAAGGAGGCAGATAGGCTATTCTTGCTAAAATAGACCTGGAGCAGTCCACATAAAAGTCTTTCTGTATATGAATGAAGCCAAATATAACGTGCCTCGAAAGGTACTGTAGAGGGCACAGAGAAGCAGAGAAGTGTACACAGCTGTGCTGGTAACTGATCTTTATACTTTATGTCTTGACACCTAAAAGCTGGTTTCACCAGCCACATGTACTGTTGTATTCCAGGCACATATTTGCCACAACATGGTGTGTCTATCTTAGGACATGCTCTCTTTTACAATATAAAAGTGTCTTGCTTCATGCTCCCGTGTCAACAATGTCACTTGGATAGATCGTGATTCCTTTGAGACAGTAGAAGAAAACAATGGCTGAAAAACTCATGGATGGTACACCATATCCACTTTGATTTTGACTTTTACTATGGTGAGCAAGAAAGTGAACAGTTTCTATATCCACAAAACCTCTGTCACAATATTGTGTAGTGTATGCTTCAATCGGCTGATTCCAACAAACCTTCCCTCCCTCCCTATATATATATATATAAATAATGGGGTTTATTTCTCAGTTTAGAGTGGAGGAACTTGACTTCACACCGGTGCTCAACCTCACTAATTCTCTTGTAGCTTGCTGGATGCAGATCCTTGCAGCCAGATTCACAAAAGCCTTCCAGAGAAGAGCATGAGCTGTTGCAATAACATTTGTAATGCCCGGGGTGTTGGAATGAAAAATTCAGCAATTACATATTGGTGTTATATTTTGTTGTCCATGTAATTCTGTCAATTTAATGTAAGTATGTTATGTTTAGAGATACTATTTATTTGAGGAAGTCATATGTAATTTAAGGGTACCTGTTTCTAAAATGAGGGAATGACCTATCACAGAATTTACCCCTCAAGCTAAAGTGCTGAACACACCTGCTGTGTTTTGTAGCACCACACCATTTCATACAACAAACAAAGAAAGCATGCATGGACGGTAGCTGGGATGGTCTGCTTGAGGGACTGAAAAAAATAAATAAAATAAGATTATGATGAAGTTGCTGCTTGTCTGGAGCACTATCATGCGTCAGTACTTATAAAAAGAAAAACATCGTCCTATAAAATTCTATATGTTGGAATAAACTGCAAAGTACATTGAGCAATCAGTGGGCTGCTGTTCAGCAGAAAAAACAGAAGGCTGGTTGGTAATCAGTATTTCTCAGTAAGAGGTGATCACATCATGTTGGCTCATTAGCTCAGTTTGTTTTACTAAGTGCTGCAAAGTTTTTCCGGCAAACCAGTCAGTCAGAACTAAAGTGTCATGTAACGTCTGCTGACTGGCAATTTTGACAACAATTCATCTTTTTACAAACACGCATACACATGCGCAGCAGGCGGATCCAGGTGATTACGAGAGTATTAATGGAGAGGAGGCCCTTAGTTGGGCACCACACCAACCAGTTCTCTGCAACCCTGATACTACTCCTCCAAACCTCGTCCATCTCCTCCTCATCCAACACTGCAGGTGAGCTTTTCCTCAGTCTACTCTTCCATCTCTTTCTTCTGTACATTCACCACCATCTTCTTCTTTTCTCATTTCCTGGTTTTGATCTTTATATCTATAGCTTCCCAGCTTCTGCTTCCTCATTAAAATATGTTTGTGTCCACAGCTCTTCTCCGCTATGACTGCGCTGTGGCTCCACACTGCATCTCTGCTGGTCTTACTGATCATGTCGTGCCCAGACTCCCAAGCCATTGCCTCACAGCATCTGTGTGGCCCTCACCTCGTTAAGGCCCTTCACCTGGTCTGTGGGGAGAGAGGTTTTCTCTACATGCCCAGGACAGGCAACAACCCCATGCTGCGTGAGGATATGAATTGCAAAACACTTGACAGCACAAAACCATATCACAAAGATGCACTATATTTTACAGTATATCAGTATGATTCCCATGATGTAGTGAGAACAGTATGTACTCCAGGCAATATTACTCCCAGTGAGCTTTTCACACTACATTCCAGGTTTCCTACCTCCAATGGCAGGCAGAGCATCATCAATGGGTAATGAGAATAAAGTCACCAAGCGGGACCAAATGGAGATGGTGGTGAAGCGAAGCATTGTGGAGCAGTGCTGTCACAGGTCCTGCAGCCTCTTTGACCTGGAGAACTACTGCTTCTGAACAGCCAGCTCTGGCACCACAGCACTTAGCTCTGTTTTTGTTTGCTAGCTTAGCTCCTTGGCTAAATGTAGGCACAGTCTCTCCCCCAGCTCCTGAAGCCATCAGGATAGCAGCAGTGCTGTCGTCTCTGTAAAGTCGAATGTTGCCAAATGAAGTGCTTAAAAATTAAATTCTCTTTTCCTAAATAATAAAGCTATGTTTTTGAGAGAAAGAAGGCGCTTCTGTGAAGGGCTTTAAAAAAAAAAGAATTATCTTTATTGTCAAGTTCACAGCCAAGTCATAGCTGTCTTGCCAGCTGAAGGGCAGGGGATAGGGAGGGGTTATTTTTATGTTACTGCTAGGGTTGAGAACCAGAACCAAAATGAACCAAATCCAAAATACCAACAAAGATGAGTGGTCTAATGTCAAGCAGAAATGCTCAAGAGGAGTCTTTCTTATATTTCTTATGGTACATTTACCTGTGGTCCTGTGTATACTGTGTTCTTTGCACATACTCATTTGTACAAATAGGTATGTCACCAGTGTTTGGCTTGCAGCAGCACAGATTCCTCTCCCTGTTACTGTACTTGGCAAGAAACCGATTATGATTCTGAATGGATACAGCACATTTAAAGTTCTTCTGTTTCAAAAGATGGACAGGATCATGCTGGTACCTTCACTCTAATTTAAGTGCAGTTTAGTGACAGTTCAGATTGAAAAACTCTCTCCTGTCTGTGGTTAAACTGGCTAAGAAGCACCAAACATTATGTTCAATGTGCACACTATCATTTATTTGTAATAAGGCTAAGTAGTCTTCCTCAAAGTGAGCAGTGGAACAAATATATGATTGTGTGTGTGTTTTCTGTCATATTTTGCAGAGATCAGCACCGCCCCCTGCTGGCTGTTTTTCAGCTCTGCTGTCATTACAATATGTCCTTTGAAACCTCAAACATTATAGAAACAGATTAGAAGAAGTGTTGTTTCATCTGAACGCCTTCTGTTAAATGATTCTGTGATGCTCATCTTGCTGATGAAAACGGTGTTCTGTATTAGATGCAAAGCAAGCCTTCATTATTAGAGCAATTATGTGGTTTTATATCACTATTACAAAGTTTAGTGCCATGGCAATAATCATAAAGCAAATGAATTAGGGATTTAAATGGTATACTGTCCTACAGTGACAACCTTTTGGAGGGAGACACACACACACACACACACGCACGCACGCACACACACACACACACACACACACACACAC